TCGCGTCCCGGCGGCCTGGCCGGGGCGGGGAGCAGGGAAGAGCCCTCGGCCTCCTGCTCCCGCGCACCGCCGCGGGGCCTGGCTTGGCTGGGGTGCGGGCTGCGCGCCGCTCCTCCGGTCGCCTCTGGGAAAAGGTGTTACGGGGTCGAGTTTTTGTTCCCCGACTGTCTTTACCGTCCGCTTCGGTGCAAGTCCCGCTGTGCCGGCGGCTGCCTCGGGCTGTGCCCGAATGACGCTTAACATGCATGTTGTGAGAAAGTACGCTTTCTGCTCACTTCTGAGGAAAAAAATATCCCCGGTTGTGCAGAATGATCTTGGTTGTGAGCAAAGCGTGTCCCTAGTGCTAACGACACGTGGGGCCGTGCCATTGTAGGGCAGTGTGAATTGGATGATGATTGTTGGTGTTCGCACTGTTCATAGAATGTTTTCTGTAGAGGCATTGCGGTTTGTTGCAAAACCTGGGGGCTGTGGTATGTCTGTGCAAGGTTGTAGAGTGATGCGTGATGCCAAATTTAAGCTAAGGGGAAATACTGCCCAGCTGGCGCTTAAATTACCAGAATGATTTTTTCCAGATGTGCTGACTCAGCATGTTCCTATCTGCAGGGAAAATAGGTGAAGCCTCTGGCTAGGTAAATCCAAGCAAAGCATGTAATAAAAATCTGATAGTTAAAATAAGGTTGCCCTTCTGTTAATGGGATAAATGTAGGATGGCACTTTCTTGAACAGCTTTACATCAAAGTTTGCAACTTTCCTGCCTGGCAGGAGACAGTATGCAATACAGTATTACAGAAGGTCTTGGCTCCATAAAGAAATGCACATATAAATAAAGCGTTATTGTCACCAATGTTAAACTTTCAGTTTGTTTTTTTTTATGGTAGGTAAAAAATTGCTTAAGTCATGCAGCCTTCTTTTTTAGTAAGTTACTGACTTGGTTTTGGAGTGTTTTGGACAGAGGGGAAAAAACATCAGTTCTCCATGTAGTTAAAAGACAAACTGTGGCTGACCACTCTGATGTTTCCATGGTTTCAAGTGTTCTTTCAGTTAGTTACACTCTAGAGCATTCTTACTGCTGGCTGTGCTCAAAATATTTGGTATTACAAGATGTAATGCGTGATGAAAACGATATATTTGCTACACACGTAACACTAAATTATTGCACTGTTTTAAATATGGTTCCAGTATTTGATTTGTCTATTCCCGTTTTTAACGAGAAATATGGAAAATTTGGCAACCAGAGTGCTACTATTCAGAGCAGTTGTCTCATTATGTTTGGCAAAACAGTGGGGAACAATTTGAAAGTAAAGTCACTGTTCTGATTGTGCTCAGATATGATTAGTTATTTAATGTTAGCATCTTGGGACATTGTAACATTATTAGAGTCCTGGCAATGAAAAGGAAAAGGTGTTCCTTGTGAAAAGAAAACCATTGTTTCTTGAATATGATTGATTGGTAGATAACACTGAAAATTCTGAGAACAAGTTGAAGTAAGAGATTCTCACTTTTTGCTGATGTGACATATTTATGAAATTGCCCATCTTGGACTGTGTAATGCTTCACTCACGGCATTTCCACTTTGTTTTTCAAACAAACCTACTGTTTTAAATATGTGTTTCGAAGTAATTCCTGACATCTGTTTTTCTAGGTTGATCAACTCCAAAATGTTATCTCAGTGTCTATGCGAAGTTTACAAATGTTTGTTTCTGCGCAACTTAAAACTGAATTCCATAAATGTGGCTACTTTGGCCAGAAGGATCCATTTTTCTGCAAAAAAGCTTTCTGACTGTGAGCTAAAGGAAAAAACTGTCCAGAAATGTGAAACTGAAGAGTTGCCTCAAAGTACGGAAAACAGTAATTTTGGAAGATTGCACATACCAGTGATGCTGGAGGAGGTTGTTAATTGTATATCCCCCCAGCCAGGTCAGGTGAGTTAAATGATTAATTAACATTTGTGGTTTAGTAGCAGTCCAGCAGAAAAATTTGTGCAGTGTAGGGATAACTTGTGTTGAGGAATAAAAGGATGCTGTTTAAGAATCAGTTGCACCTTTTAAAGGTTCTAAATTGTTTTGCAATTCAAATTAAGGCTCTGTATTAAAAATAATAAAAATCTGGTATCTGCATGCCTGAATCCCCCCAAAAGCAGTATTTGTTAAAACTGCAGTAAGTGTTTGAAGAATCTCTTGCTTTTGTGCTTGCCTTTCTGGATTGCTCTTGTGTTTTTCTAGGGTTGTGTTAATTACTAATAGTATTAGGGAGTTCTTATGTATGTATGGTTATGTCATCAATTTGTGAACAGCTCTCTTCATTTTCTATAAGAGGGAGTAAGTATGGAGGTTTTAAAAAATCATCATCCTCATCATACTTTGTTCTGAGTTAGTTATTTCCATGGTTTCACTTGGTTTGAGGCACTATATTTCCTTAGGATATGCTTACACTGCATAATGTGGTGCACTGTAGAGGTACTATAGTTATAAAATGACTGCATATGGTACCAGAAATGGTTTAACATGCATAATGTGGAAGTATTATAGGTCGTCTTATTTGGCTATGGTACTCTGAGTAGATTCCTTTTGGTATCTGGGTTAGCTCAGGTCTCTCTACACTGCAGTGTTGATATATCTACATTGTACTGGTGTATGCAGTGTAAGTATACTGTTACACACTTCCTTTACAAAAATGATATGCAGTGAAATAGTTTTCATCTGAGGGATCTTAAATACAATATGAAGTCGAAAGGATTTCTTATACAACTTAAACGTTTAGACGATTTTCACATTTCAGATACTTTCATCTGTGATTTTAGTGCTTTTTACATTAGCTTCATAGAATCTTACTAATTTAGGCTTACCAATGTGTAGTTTTACTAAAAAGACTGAAATGATACATAAGGAAGTAGAAAATTCAAAGTGTGTGTATGTGTATGCTTGTTTATTTTTACTCACAACCAGCGTTGTCCAACAGTGGCAAAGGGATGTATCAAGTTTGAGGTGGATTCAGGGATCAAAAAGTTGCGGTCAAATCTTGTTGCATTGCCTTGTGAGAACTTTAGTTTGGAAGATAATGTATCATTGTAAATGTTTTGAAAACCAGAGAGAATCCAAATAGCGTAATTATTGTAACATAGACATTGCTCTTGCATGTGTCCTACTGTTGAAGATGCCTAAAGTAGTGAAATACATAAGGAACTTTGAGTTCAGATTTCATTCAGATGTCAGAACTATGGTGAAATTTTAACATATTAAATGAACATATAAATTGTGACACTGCCTGTGAAGTATTTTTGCAGCTGTGTAAGTTTCTATTTAAGAAGAGGCTGATGAAGTGATTCTGTTAAACTGTGTTTATTGATATAAAAAACTTACTTGGCAACAGAACTTGCAAAAGAAACTCTATTCCTGGTTATAAGCTGTGGAGAGTAACTGTTGTTGTCCCTGAAGGCTTTTTGATAATTTAAATATTTATGAATGTGAAATAACTTATTGGGGTGGGATTTTTTCAGGTCTGTGTATACATGGTTTTGTAGATTCCTAAGCTAGCGGTAAACCACTAGTGACAGATCTAAGAGAGCACGAATGTGTTACCTTGAACAGAAGCATTTATAATATGGCTAACCTGTTTAGCATAACAGCACTTCCATTTTTTTTTTAAGACAGTGTAAATCATATATTTGCAGCACTTTCTGAAGCCTGAAGTTTTGAAAATAAGTAGTTTGCAAAAGGTTGCAATGTGTCAACTGAGTTTTGCTAGAGTAAGCATCGGTGAAATTTTGAACAAAGGTTGAGACAGTTTCTTGCTGACATGAGTGGTGGTACACTGTTAACCTGGATATAGAACTGGGACTGTTGTATCAATTTATGTTTTTAAGGTTACAGTCATGACTAGGAAGTTGATGCCCACTTTATTTTGTGGGCAGGGAATGTGATATTCTGATCTTGGAATTTTTTTTTTTTCTGCTTTCTTCCTATGCATGTGAAGATTTCCTTTATTCTGCTTTAAACCAGTTACATTCTTTGTTATAAAAAAGCTGATTTGGGCCTCTGTTCCTTGTGTTCTAAGACAAGGAGTTGCCAATATAAAGAAAATCCAATTAGAAGGACAACATTCTCCCTGTGGTTTTGGACAGTGAATGGGGTTTTCATTTTACTTGTATGGGTTCCTAAGAAAATAAATGTTACTTGAGTGAGTCACAACTGAGATAAAGATGTTAGTACCCTCCTACTGAATATTCTTGTTGACTGTCTCCTTTGTGGAATCTGTTTGTCAGGGGTTTAAGCAATAGTATTTCCACTTAGCTTTGAATCCTCTTTTATTGCCTTAGAGCCTGTTTCTACAAAATCCCTGTAGTAGTCTGTCTTTGAAGCACATTGTACAAATTGGTTTTTACTGATCTACCTCACTTCTCCTCATTGCAAAGTCTGTTGCAGTAAATCCACGCACAAGTAATTTCCTCTTTAAGTTTACTGTATTGACTAAACTACATTTTAGTCTTCTCAGTCCACTAGTGTTCTTTACATGTACTCGACCAGTGTTTCTGGAGTTGTCTGGGCAGCTTGAGTTTTCTCTGTTCTCATAAACTTTAAAGGTAGTGAAGAACCAATCATATTTTTGGAATGAATGTCTTTGGACATCTAGAAGCATGTTTTCCCTATTTTCACCCTACTTTTTCCTATTTTTTCCTTTGCAATAGTCATTTGCCTTTTAATTAGAGATGTGGATCACTTCCACGTCATATGGCTATAGTGATATGACAAAGAATTTCGTTAGCAGTAAGTTCTAGTGTGAATGCCAGAGGATGGAACTTTGAGATTTTAATTATTCTTAATGGGGGTCTTATAATAAAGGTTCTTACAGGTTGCAAAGCTCTAGGAAACTATTTTGATAGTGCTCCAGCACAAACAGCACGCTTCTATGTGTAATAGTTAAACTGCAACTAGAACAAAAAGAAATATTATACCCTACTCAGATTTTATGGGGAAGCCTGTAATCTGATGACATCCATGGTTTTGCATTAAATATGATCTAGAATAGACTAAAATGGAGATATAATAAGCACTAGGAGTATTATCTGGTTTATGATAGTTCTGGAAGCTTTTTAAAATATCTGTAAATTAAATGGTAGGGTCGAACTTGAGGTGAGAGAGTGAATGAGACCATTCCCTTTTCTCCAGTTTTTAAGTGATTCATCAGAAACAGAGTTAATATCAGATCTTTGTATCTCATTATGTTAATTTGTATCTAAAAAAATAAGGCAATTAATTTTTCCCCAAACAGATCTTGTCTGACATCATCTTGAGTTAGCTTGCAGAGGTATCCTCTTTGATTCTTCATAAAATTATTCAGATTATTTTTACTACCCAGCTTTCACTGAAGGGAGTATCCTCTTTGTCTTGGAAATAATGTGTGATACCTAGCTCCTAGAAAGAGAGGCGCTTCTTAAAAACATCCGGCTTTGCCATCAGCTTACCTTTCAGTCTTTCAGGTATATATTGCATTGTTCTCAGGATAGCTACTACTTGCATGCATCCAAATGTCAAATGATTCTTTTTCAGCTGAGAGAGAGTATGAGCGTGGCCTTCCAAAATAACAAGAGGAAGCATAAGACATTGCTGACAGTTAAACATTGGTCTTCTGTCACTGAAGTGCTGCTTGAGCTCTGCAATTAGTTTGAAGACGGTAGCCTTTCACCTCCTGAAGTTCTGTTGCCACTGTTGGGTGTTGTTGATCTGGAGCATCATTGTTTCCTTCCTATTCCGCAGAGCTAGTTAGTCAAGTAATAGGTGATGCTTGAAGGTGAAGTAGACTGCTGGTGCGCAGAAGCAGAGTCTATTGTTCTGAAACTGTTGTCTTAGTTTCTTTATATCCTTGTCCATATGTCAGTATTCCTTTTCTTTTTCTGCCTTATACTGAGCGTAAGCTCTTAAGGACAAAAATAACTTTTCTCTATACAGCCCCCTGCAGAGTGGACTTCTGTTTTGTGAGAAGGTTTTCCAAGTATCATGGTGTATAAATAGTTATGTGGCTATGCTGGTGACCGGTGTACTTGCTGTAGTACTTCCAAAGCCATCTGCAAATAATTTATAACTGGAACAACCCATTTACAGTAAAGGCTCTCAAAACTGAAGTTTTCCGCAGGGTGTCCAAGATAAACAGGAATTGAAAAGGGACCTGGAAGAATTAATTCTGCGTTCTCAAGTTGTATGAGGTATTTTGTAGGATGCAACCAAAATACCAAGTTTGGCACAGAATACTAATTGCATCATGAGATAAATGCTGAAATACTTGTTTTGGAAAAGCACAACACTCCATGGACATAGTAACTGTTTTTATTATTTTAGCCTATTTTCCACTGGACTTGTAAAATGAAAGTAGATTACGTAAAGCAAGTGATTTATGTAGTCTTCTTTACTATAGAGACAACTATATGTGTGGGGTTTTTTTGGTGGAAAGCATGCTGAAAATATCTTTCCATATGCAAATTGTATGGGTAATTTTTTTGTGGCAGCAGCACAGTGATTTATATGGTGATTGATAAAGATAAGCTTTCGTTGTAAAACAGGAAGAAAGGTACTGGAACTTGCAAGGGCCAATAAATTAATACAAAGAAATTCTGAAAATATTCTGGGAATTACAGAACACGCTTTTTTCTGTGATACTTCAGTGTTACTGGGGGTTTTTTGAGAGTTATTTCATCTGGTCATGTAATTCCTGTGTACCCTTTCAGTAACTCTTGTCTTGCCTGATTTCCTGGTTGTGTATGTTGTGAATTTATGAAAGAGACTAGCCAGGTTTCAGATCACAGCTGTGTAGGGAAATGTGTACTAAAAATGTGTGTAGAGTGCATATGTATGCAAAGTGTATTCATTTGCTGTGGTGTGTAATAGGAAACTTTTAAAATGGAATCTCATCAGATAGAGACCAATGTTTA